GGGCGGGCCAACCCCCAACCCCGCCCCCAAACCCTAAACCCTAAACCCTAAACCCTAAACCCTAAACCCTGCCTGCTGCAGCTGCGCGCGCTCCAACTCCTGCTGCAGCTCCGCCAGCAGCAAAGAATCTCCGGAAAAGAAAATGTAATCCAAACAGCCGCAAAAGTGCGGAGTGAAGTTCGTGAAGGCCGGCTCCAGGTGTACGTACACCCCGCCGCCCCGCAACAAACAACCGCCCTGCACACAAACCCTAAACCCTAAACCCTAAACCCTGAACCCTAAACCCTAAACCCTAAACCCTGAACCCTGAACCCTAAACCCTAGACGCTGAATTCTAAACCCTAGGCGCTGGCCTGGGGGAGGCGGGAGGGGCTGGGGGAAGGGGGGGAGGGGAGCCGGGAGCTGGGCTAAACCCTAAACCCTAAACCCTAAACCCTAAACCCTAGGAGCTCACCAGGGCGTACGCGGAGACGAGGTTGAGGGGGCGGCGGGGCCTAGGGTTTACGAAATTAGGGTTTAGCAAATTAGGGTTTACGAAGCTAGGGTTTACGAAGCTGGGGTTCGACGGCTGCTGCAGCTGCGCGAGCTGCTGCTGCAGCTGCTGCCGCTGCTGCAGCTGCGCAAGCTGCTGCTGCTGCTGCAGCAGCTGCAGCTGCGCAAGCTGCTGCTGCTGCTGCTGCTGCTGCAGCTGCAGCTGCGCAAGCTGCTGCTGCTGCTGCTGCTGCTGCTGCTGCTGCTGCAGCAAAGGGCCCCACAAACAGTCTCTTGTAATAATTTCGTAAACAGCAGAATCGGGTTTGCTGTTGAAGTCGCCGCAGAGCAGCAGCGCGGGCGAGACCGACAGCCGCGCCAAACACTCTTCCAAAACCCTGCACACAAATTAGGGTTTAGGGTTTAGGGTTTAGGGTTTACGGTTTAGGGTTTAGGGTTTGCCTGCTGCGCACAGCTGCCACGCCCTCACCCGCTCTCTCAACTCCAGCAACGAAGGGCCACGACACGGGCTCGCCTCTCCCGTAAACCCTAAACCCCAAACCCTAAACCCTAAACCCCAAACCGTAAACCCTAAACCCCAAACCCTAAACCCTAATTTTTGTCTTACGCGAGCAGCGTTTGCGTTTGCCAAAGTTTGACGTCGTTGGACTCGGGGCTGGCGGTGATATGGACATTCGTAACGAGCAGCAGCCGCTGCTGCTGCTGCTGCTGCTGCTGCTGCTGCTGTTGCTGCTGCTGCTGCTGCTGCTGCTGCTGGCCCTGCTTGAGTTCGAGCAGCAGCAGGAGCGCGACGTTGTCCTTCATGAACCTCCTGGAGTCTCCCTGGAGGAGTTTCCTGTCTGCTGCAGCAGCAGCGTGCTGCTGCTGCTGCTGCTGCTGCTGCTGCTGCTGCTGCTGCTGCTGCTGCAGGCGCGCAAAGGCAGCAAACTCCACTGCAGCAGAGTCCCGCAGCAAGAACTTGTCTTGCAAATAAAATGCTGCCACTCCGTCGTTGGTGTACCTCCCGCTGCTGCTGCTGCTGCTGGCAGCAAACACTGCAGCAGCACGGCGTTTGTAAACCCCCAAGTAGCCCAGCGGAGTCAAAGCCGGCAGCAGAAACTCCCCAAACGCCTCCGGCTCCACCTCCTGCAAACCCTAAACCCTAAACCCTAAACCCTAAACCCTAGGCCCGCTGCGGGGGGAGCGGAGCGCCCGAAGTGGAAAGCTCCAAACCCTAAACCCTAAACCCTAAACCCTAAACCCTAAACCCTCGGGGCGCAGCAGCTCGCACCGGAGAGCTCCAACCCCCAAACCCTAAACCCTAAACCCTAAACCCTAAACCCTAGGGGTTCAGCAGCGCGCCGCGGAGGCAAAACGCCGAGCGCCGCGAACCCGAAGAGCTGCAAACCCCAAACCCTCACGGCCCCAAACCCCAAACCCTAAACCCCAAACCCCAAACCCTAAACCCTAAACCCTAAACCCTAAACCCTAAACCCTAAACCCTCCCTACCTGGAGGCAAAGGATGTCGGGGCGCATTCTTTGGATTTCTTCTGCAATTTTCTTTTTTCTGTAAACCCAAGAAAGAGCAAAAGAGTCGCAGTGGGGAAAAGAAGCAGCAGAGCCGTAAAGTTCCGCGAGGATGTTCCAGCTCATCACGCTGAAGCTGCTGCTGCTGCTGCTGCTGCTGCTGCTGCTGCTGCTGCTGCTGCTGCAGCTGCTGCTGCTGGGGGCGGCGGCGCTGCTGCTCGCGGCGGAGGTGCTCGCAGCGGTGCTCGTGCTGCTGCTGCTCTCGAAGCTGCTGCTGCTCTGCGAGTCCCCATACGCCCCCGCTGCTGCTGCTGCTGCTGCTGCTGCTGCTGCTGCTGCTGCTGCTGCTGCTTTCTGCAGCGGCGCTCCCGCTGCTGCGCCCTGCGCCCCAGGCAAGTCGTAGCCAAGAGCAGCAGCAGCAGCAGCAGGAGCAGCAGCAGCAGCAGCAGCAGCTAAACCCTTCGTGCTGCAGCCGCCCCCCGTCGACACATCCAAACCCTCCAAACCCTCAAACCCTAAACCCTCAAACCCGCAGAAACCCTTAACCCCGGGGGCCCCCAGGGGCCCCACACCCTGGGGGGGCCCCCCTAGCCCTGGGGGGGGGCCCCCAGGGGCCCCCTGCAGTTGGGTTTGGGTACTGGGGGGCCCCTGGGGCCCCTTGCCTGTCAGGAGGGCTTTGCTGCTAAGAGCCATGTGAAGCGGCGGCTGCTCTGCTGCTGCTGCTGCTGCTGCTGCTGCTGCTGCTGCTGCAGGTGGGGAAACGTGGGTAAAACCCTTTCTTAGTATTGAGTCAAGAATCTCTCCTAGGGTTTGGGGGGGCCCCCAGGGGGCCCCCTCGGAAGCAGCAGCAGCACAAAAGAGATCGCCGCGTTTTTGCAGCTGCTGCTGCTGCTGCTGCTGCTGCTGCTGCAGCTGTGGGTGGTACTGCTGCTGCTGGAACTGCTGCTGCTGCTGCAGGAGCAAGTGCTGCCGAAGCTGCTGCTGCAGGCTCAGGTGCGGCTGGTGCAGTTGCTGGGGCTGCAGCAGCAGCTGCTGCTGCTGCAGCTGCTGCTGCTGCAGCTGCTGCTGCTGCAGCAGCAGCAGCTGCTGCTGCAGCTGCAGCTGCTGCTGCTGCGGCACCCGCAGCAAACGCCTCGGCGCGGGGGGCCCCACAGAAGGAATACAAAAAGCTGTTTTGACTTTATGGACTTCAATGCCTGCTGCTTCAATCCACTGCCACAGCAGCTCCTGCTGCTGCTGCTGCTGCTGCTCCTGCTGCTGCTGCTGCTGCTGCTGCTGCAGCAGCAGCAGCAGCTCCTTCGGCACCACTGCTGCTTCAAACATGAACTGCCGCCCCAAGTCACTCAAATAGGGCCTCAAGTTCTTTTCATAACTCACAACAGACCAGGGGGGCCCCCCGGGGGGCCCCTCAGAACCCTCGGGGGGCCCCCCTGGGGGCCCCCCTGGGGGCCCCCCTGGGGGCCCCTCCGGGGGCCCCTCCGGGGGCCCCCGAGGAGGGGGCCCCCCCGGGGGCCCCCCTGGGGGGCCCCAAGGGTCTGTTGGCGGCAGCAGCGCGAGGTGGGGCTCTGCTGCTGCGCTGCTGCTGCTGCTGCTGCTGCTGCTGCTGCTGCTGCTGCTGTTCTGGGGCAGGCCGTAGACGAAAGGGTTTGGGTGTCTGTGGGGTTTGCTGCCCGGCTGCTGCTGCTGCTGCTGCTTCAGCTGCTGCTGCCCCCTCCTGAAGCACTGGTAGCAGCAGAAGCAGCGCCAGGTGTACGTACACTGCATTGCTGCAGCAGCAAAAGGGTGGAAGCAGCAAACAGCAGCAGCAGGACTTCTGCTCCACCGATAGGCAACAACGCAGTCCCCCTCCTCCCCTGCTGCTGCTGCTGCTGCTGCTGCTGCTGCTGCTGCTGCTGCTGGCTGCTGCTGCTGCTGCTCCTGGCCGCTGTCGCTGCTGTCGCTGCCGCAGCCCCCGCTGCTGCTGCTGCTGCTGCTGCTGCTGCTGCTGCTGCTGCTGCTGCTGCTGCTGCTGCTGCTGCTGAGGGCCTCGCTGCTTATCACTTTCCCCTGCCGGTCCCGCAGCAGCAGCAAAGGCCTCATCTCAAACCCTTCCACAGGCACCATGGGGCCCTGTGGGGCCCCACACCAGGAAAGGTGGCAGCGAACAATCGACACTGCTGCTGCTGCTGCTGCTGCTGCTGCTGCAGGAGCTGCTGCTGCTGCAGGAGCTGCTGCTGCTGCAGGAGCTGCTGCTGCTGCAGGAGCTGCTGCTGCTGCTGCTGCTGCAAGCGGCTTCTCAACGATAGAGGCAGGGGCTTCGGCTGCGCCGGCTTGCGGCGGTGCTGCTGCTGCTGCTGCTGCTGCTGCTGCTGCTGCTGCTGCTGCTGCTGCTGCTGCTGGTCTCCCTTGGCACTCTTCGGTGGAAGAGTGCCCGTCGGCAGCAGCAGCAGCTGCTGATGCTGCTGTTGCTTCTGGTCCCACTGAAGAAGCGCCATCTGCTGCTGCTGCTGCTGCTGCTGCTGCTGCTGCTGCTGCTGCTGCTGCTGCTGCTGCTGGAGCTTCTTTCGGCCTAGACACAAGTTCCCTGCTGCTGCTGTCGCTGCTGCTGTTGCTTCTTGCGTCGCTGCTGCTGCTGCTGCTGCTGCACCCCTCAGCCGGCATCCTGCGTGCCTGAGGAGGCAGCACCGCTCTTGCTGCTGCTGCTGCTGCTGCTGCTGCTGCTGCTGTTGCTGCTGCTGCTGCTGCTGCTGCAGGGTGGGACAGCCTGGGGGCCCCTGGGGGGCTACTGAAGGCGCTTGCAACGCCCGTGCTGCTGCTGGCGGTAGTGTTGCTGCAGCTGCTGCTGCTCCTTCTGCTGCTGCTGCTGCTGCTGCTGCTGTGAGATCTGGAGAGAGCAGTTTCTGCTGCTGCTGCTTTTGCTGCTGCTGCTGCTGCTGGCCGCTGTGGCTGCTTCGCAGCAGCTTCTCTGCGGCTAGGAAGATTCATTGCAGGCAAAAGCAGCAAAGGGAAAAGCTAGCAGCAGCAGCAGCAGCAGCAGCAGCAGCAGCTGCTGCTGCAGGGTCTAGGGCGGCTGTTGTTGCTGCTGCTAGTTGCTGCTGCTGCTGCTGCTGCTGCTGCACTTGCAGCTGCTGCCGCATAACCGCGCGTGGTCTCTCCCAGCTCTGCGACGAAAGCCGTAAACCCTAAACCCTAAACCCTAAACCCTAAATGAGGGAATACTTCCCCACACTCTGGGGCCTCTGGAGAAGCAGCAAGAATTATTATTTTGTTTTTATTTTTTATTTTATTTTATTTTTAAATCAAAACCAAAAACAGCTCCCCTGAATATCCCGCGATCTCGCCAGCATGCAGCCCCAAACCTAAACCCTAAACCCTAAACCCTAAACCCTAAACCCTAAACCCTAAACCCTGCCCCCAAACGCAGACGGTGAACTCCCAGTTATAGAGAATCTTTTCATTTAAGTGGCCGTTACCTAGGGTTTAGGGTTTAGGGTTTAGGGTTTAGGGTAGGGTCTAGGGTTTAGGGTTTAGGGGTTAGGGTCTAGGGTTTAGGGTTTAGGCGGCTCTCGCTGCGTCTCCTGCTTTGAGCTTTTATCTTTTAGTTCTTTTTTCTTTTTAATTTATTTAATTTATTTTTTAATTCAAATATCATAATCATAAAATAAAATTCCCTTTTTATCGCAGCTAAACCCTAAACCCTAAACCCTAAACCCTAAGCCCTAGAGCCTACGTCCTCATCCCAGCGACCCCGAATCCGTAAAGCCTGAACTCAGGCTGCTGCGCCCTAAACCCTAAACCCTAAACCCTAAACCCTAAACCCTAAACCCTGAGGGCTTCCAGAAGCGTGGCTGGGGACTTTAGATTTGGCGAAGTTTGCAGATTTCTCCAAATGATTTAAAAGAATTATAATTTAAATTAAAACTTTCAAATAATTAAAATGATTTTAATTTAAATTAAAAGTTTTAAATAATTAAAAATGATTTTAATTTAAATTAAAAACTTTTCTTTTGCTGCAGCGCTGCTGCACTCCGCGTACACCTGCGGGGTGTACGTACACCTGAATCTGTGGCTAACCCTAAACCCTAAACCCTAAACCCTAAACCCTTTTTGCACTTTTGCAAATTTAAATAATTCCTTCTAAACCCTTTTATAGTGTTTAAAACCCTTTTTTAATTTTTTTTAAACCCTCCTGAACTCCTCCTTAATCTCGCCGAAAAACGCGGCTTAGCTGGACCCTAAACCCTAAACCCTAAACCCTAAACCCTAAACCCTCAATCCTCGTTCCTGCACCTGCTAAAGACGAAAACCGAGACCCTAAACCCTAAACCCTAAACCCTAAACCCTGGAGGCTCAGCCCGAACAGATAATGGCCTCTGGATGCATGCAAAGGCGAGTCAGATCCCGTTCAAACCCTAAACCCTAAACCCTAAACCCTAGGCCACCCGCGGCAACTCGCGCAGCGGCCTTTGCAGCGCAGAGGCCTAGGGTTTAGGCTTTGGCTGCAGCAAAACCCCAGCCCACTACTGCGCTTCCTGCTGCTGCTGCTGCTGCTGCTGCTGCAGCAGATCTTCATCCAGGCGTCTCCTCCTAGCAGCAGCAGCAGCAGGACTTGCTGCCGCTGCTGCTGCTGCATCCCCCGCGTCTGCTGCAGCAGCAGCAGCAGCAGCATCAAGGGAAACTTCTTCTGAGTTCCGCTTTCTGCTAGTAGTTGCTGCTGCGTCATCGCCTTCCTGCTGCTGCTGCTGCTGCTGCTGCTGCTGCTGCTGCTGCTGCTGCTTTCCTTGAAAAGAGGAAGCAACTGACCCATCTGCTGCTGAGTCTGGCTCAGTTTCCGTTTCCGTTTCCTGGGCCACTTCTGAGGAGCAGCGGCGCTGCTGCTGCTGCTGCTGCTGCTGCTGCTGCTGCTGCAGCTGCAGCAGCTCGCCGAGCCAGTCGGTGCAGCAGACGCAGCAGCAGGGCTCTTCTTCGCTGTCGCTGCTGCCTTCATTTGATTTATTTATTTTATTTATTTTATTTAAATTTGTTTTATTTATTTTATTTATTTTATTTATTTTATTTATTTTATTTGTTTTATTTGTTTTATTTATTTCTTTTCGCTGCAGCGAAAAGAAACCCCCGCGAGCCCCCGCCAGCCGGCGCGCCGCCTCCGTCAGCTCCGCAGACACCTGCAACCCAAACCCTAAACCCTAAACCCTAAACCCTAAACCCTAAACCCTAAACCCTAAACCCTAAGCCCTGAACGCTGCGTGCTAACCCGGAGCTTTATGTATGCTCGGTTGTGCGGGGGCAGCGGTGGAGGTTTAAAGCTAGATTGGGCTTGCGAGAAGGCTGCGCCTCGAAACGCTGGTCACAAACCCTAAATTAGGGTTTAGGGTTTAGGGTTTAGGGCTTACGGCGTTTGCCGCGGCAATGCGTTCTGCAATAACGGGATCGTCTGGCAAGGGAGGAGACGAGGGCTCCTCGTAGCAGCAGTCCCGGACACGCAGCAGCTGCAGCACAAACCCTAAACCTTAAACCCTAAACCCTAAACCCTAAACCCTAAACCCTAAACCCTAAACCCTAAACCCTAAGTTCTCGTAGAAGCAACAGACCCACGCCGAACTCCCGAAAGATACAGACGCGCAAGCATACCAACGGGAAAAAATGAACACGGGCAACAACCAAACCCTAAACCCTAAACCCTAAACCCTAAACCCTAAACCCTAAACCCTAAACCCTAATCAGTATTGAATTGCTTTTTACTTTTCTAAAGGCGAAGAACAGCTTTTCCACCTCGCGGTGAGGAGGGTTTGAAACGACCTCGCACAGACGCTGCAGGGTCAAGGGCGGCCTGCGCAAAACCCTAAACCCTAAACCCTAAACCCTAAACCCTAAACCCTAAACCCTAGATCCAAGACGGTGACGCTGCTGCTGGACCTTTAGGGTTTCAGGCGAGGGTTTTAGTTAAGGGCGCTGGTGCCATTAGGGTTTAGGGTTTAGGGGTTGCTGAGGGGCCTAGGGTTTGCAGAACAGCAGGGTTTAGGGTTTAGGGTTTAGGGTTTACTGGCTGAAGGAAAGCACCAACGCAAGAAGATAATCCCTTGAGCTTTCCCACGAGAAGAGCCGCAGCTGCCGCTGCTGCTTCTTCCCCAATACTGTGAACAACTGCAGCAGCAGCAGCAGCAGCAGCAGCAGCAGCAGCAAATCCGCTAGAAGCAGCAGCAGCAGCAGCAGCAGCAAATCTGCTAGAAGCAGCAGCAGCAGCAGCCCCCCAGCAGCAGCAGCCGCAGGAAGAGCAGCGTTTGCTGCTGCTGCGCCTGCGGGCGCGCCCCCCCCCGCCGCCCAACCCCGACCCCCCCCAAACCCCAAACCCTAAACCCTAAACCCTAAACCCTAAACCCTAAACCCTCACGTCGTGGACTTGCGCAGCAATCACAACTTTCACGAGGGGCCAGGGATACAGCAGCACATTTGCTGTTTTGATGTCTTTGGTGATGTCTGCAACATCTTGAGGGTTTGGCAGCAGCAGCGAGGGTTTGGGGGGGTCGCAGCTGCTGCTGCAGCAGCAGCAGCTGCTGCTGCTGCTGCTGCTGCTGCTGCTGCGGCCCTCTGCTGCGCCAGCTTCCAGCTCCGCGCCTGCTGCTGCTGCTGCTGCTGCTGCGGACGCAGAGTAACCCATGCAGCCGCAGCCGCAGCGGCTGCTGCGGCCTCCTGCTGCTGCTGCTGCTGCTGCTGCTGCTTCCCCGCCATCTGCTGCTGCTGCTGCTGCTGCGTCTGTGGGCCCCGGGGGCTCCTTGACTTTGCACAGCAAAACAAATGCTGCGCACAAAAAGAGAAATAAATAAAAGAATTAAAAGATTAAATAAATAAATAAATAAATTAATTAATTAATTAATTTATTAACTAATTAAAATAAATAAATTAATTAATTAAAAATAAATGTTGAAGTGTTAAATAGGGGCGCACATATCAGCCGCTCGAGGCCCAGCCTATACACGACGGCATTTGGATCTGCTGCTGCTGCTGCTGCTGCTGCTGCTGGGGTTTCTGCTGCTGCTGCTGCTGCTGCTGTTGACGCTGCTGCTGCTGCTGCTGCTGGTGCTGCTGCTGCTGCTGTTAACGTCCCGCATGAGGGCTCTTGCTTGGCAGTGGTGCTGCTGCAGCTCTTGGCGTTGTTGTTGTTTGTGGTGCTGCTGCTGCTGCTGCTGCTGCTGCTCTTGCTGCTGCAGCAGCTGCTGCTGTTGGTGCTGCTGTCGCTGGTGCTTGCATCGCTGGTGCAGGGTGTCTGCTGCTGCTGCTGCTGCTGCTGCTGCTGCTTTGGGGGGGCGGGTGCGCCCGAAGGCGAGTTTCCCGGGCTGTCGCCGCTCATTTTGGGCGCGAGGGTTTAGGGTTTAGGGTTTAGGGTTTAGGGTGTAGGGCCTAGGGTTTGAGCCCCCATGGGGCTTGCCCGGTGCTCCCTGCGGAGCGGCGGCGCACCATAGAAGACCGCGGTGCAGCGGCTGCAGCAGCAAAGAGAAAACAAATAAAAACAAATAAAATAAATAAATAAACAAATAAATAAATAAAAAAGGAAAAATAAGAAAGAAAGCCGAGAAAAGAGCAGCAGGTGCAGCGCAGCAACCCCGCCTGCATGCGCAGCAGCTCTTCGGCTGCGGCGGCTCCAGCCCCGAGCCGCAGCAAACAGCAAATGGAAAAGAAGGGGAAATTGAATTTATTAAAAGTATTATTATTATTAGGAGTTCTCAGCAGGGCGAACTGCAGCGGCGGCGGAGGCAGCAGCAACATGCAGCAGCAGCGGGGGGCCGCCAGGCTCTTGTCGCGGCTCGCCGGCGCGCCTCGCGGCGCTTTCCAAGTTCCCCGCAGCTCCGCTAGCGGACTTTCAGTTCTTTCTTTTGCAGAAAAAGAAAGAACTGAAAGTCCGTTGTGGCTGCGCGGCGGCTGCGCGGGCGCGCGGGGTGTACGTACACCCCGCGCCGCGGGCTGCGCGCGCGCCGCCGCCGCGGCTTTCCGCCGCTTTTCCTCCGAATCCGGCCCGATCTCCCCGCCCGCTGCTTCTCTTTCATTGAATTCCGATTATTCGTCCGCGGAATCCTCGAAAAAGCCCGCGGAATGGGGGCGAACCGGCGCGGCGGCGGCGGGCGCGGGCGCGGCGGCGGCGGCGGCGGCGGCGGCCGGAAAGCAGGACTTAGTGCGGACTTCGCGGGTTTTTAAAAAGCGACTGCCGCCCAACTTCGTCTCCGAAACTTTTATTCCGCATTTGGAAGACCAGATCGTCCACATGGCGCCTTCTTTCTCCGTCGTTCAACTCGGCGAGGTGGGCGCGGCCTACGGCCGGCTGCCGCCGGCGCTGCGCGAAAAAGAAGTCGAAAGGGAGCTTTTGAAGCACTTGCGGTTGAACTTGCGGAGTGTACATACACCTGAGGAGGTCTTGGCGGCGGCGTCGCTCATGGAGCTCTTCTTCGCCGGCGACGCTGCTGCTGCTGCGGACGCGCAGCAGCAGCAGCAGCAGCAGCAGCAGCGGCGCGGCTGGCTGCCCGCGCTGCGGCGGCGCAGCAGCGGCGTCGAGCCGGACTTGTTTCTGCTGCTGCAGCAGCAGCTGCAGCAGCAAAAGGGGCTGCTGCTGCGGCTGTCTGTGCTGAACTTGTTTTCCCTCATCCGCTGCTACTCCAAAGCCCTTGCTGCTCCTGCTGCTTTCTCGCTGCAGCAGCAGCAGCAGCTGCAGCAGTTCCTCCAAACCCTCCGCCAAAGGGCCGACTTGCTGCTGCACTGCCACCACCCCCACGAGCTCGTGGCCATTGTTGCTTCCATCGCCACCTACGGCGCTGCTGCTCTCCCGCAGCAGCAGCAGCAGCAGCAGCAGCCGCAGCAGCAGCAGCAGCAGCAGCAGCAGCAGCAGCAGGGGGGCAGCAGCAGCATGGCGGCGCTGGTGTCTCGGAACCCGCACATGGCGGTGCTGCCTTTGGTGCTGCAGCAGGTGGACATACACCTGAAGTTGAACAACTTTTCTTTTTTCCAAATCTTCCAGCTGCTGCATTTGCTGCAGAAGTGCAGCATAAAGCACGAGTTGCTGCTGCAGGAGTGCATTTGCTTCTTGCGCAGCGGCAGCTACTCGCCGAAGCAGCAGCAGCAGCAGCAGCAGCTGCGCCGCCACCTGCAGCAGCAGCAGCAGCTCCTCCAGCAGCAGCAGCAGCAGCTCCTCCAGCAGCAGCACGGCCACGAACGCGCGCAGCAGCAGCAACAAGAACAGCACCACCAGCTGCAGCAGGACGAGCAGCAGCAAGACCACCAGCAGCAGCAGCAGCAGCAGCAGCAGCAGCAGCAGCAGCAGCAGCAGCAGCAGCAGCAGCAGGAGGATTCCTTAAAGGTCGACACTGCCAAATTGGCCCAAATGAGTCCTGCAGAAGTTTCGGAGTTCTTCAAGGCGCTGGGCCAGCGCATCCGCAGCAAAGGGCTGCTGCAGCAGCAGCCGCAGCAGCAGCAGCAGCAGCAGCAGCAGCCGCAGCAGCAGCAGCAGCAGCAGCAGCAGCAGCAGCAGCAGCAGCGCAGCGTTGCTGAGGGCCTCCCGCCCTCGCTGCTGGTCAAAATCGCCTGGTGTTTAAATCAGCTGGGGGAGTTCGAGAGAGTGGAGCATATTTTAGAAAAGCCAGTAAATAAATAAATAAATAAATAAATAAATAAATAAATAAATAAATAAATAATAAATAAATAAATAAATAAATAATTTAATTAATTTGATTTGTTTATTTGCTGCTGCAGATTTTGAGGGCTGCGGCGAAATTCGGGGCCGTAGACTTCGCCCGACTCGTGCAAACCCTTCCTCCAGTAGGGTTTAGGGTTTAGAGTTTAGGGTTTAGGGTTTAGGGTTTAGGGTTTAGGGTTTGCAGCTGTTTGGAAATTAAAGTTAGTTGGCTCATCAGTCGCGCCCGCTTTTGCTGCTGCTGCGTCTAATCTTGCTTCTCACTCCTCGGTGCTGCATCCACTGCTGCTGCTGCCGCTGCCGCTGCTGCTGCTGCTGCTGCTGCTGCTGCTGCTGCTGCTGCTGCTGCTGCTGCTCAGGGGGCCCCCGTACTGGACCTGATCTGCAGCAGACTGGCAGCAACAATTCCGCAAATGCGTCTTTTCGATTTTTTGTTTTTTGTGGTTGGGGCGGCGAAGTTGGGGTGTCTGTACACCCCGGAGCTGCGGAAGACAGCAGCAGCAGCAGCAGCAGCAGCAGCAGCAACAGGTAAGGAAGCGCGCAAGGCCGCAGCATTGCTGCTGCTGCACCAGCAGCAGTGTTGCTGCTGCAGCAGCAGCAAAAGTGTTAACGAAATGAAACTAATGCATGCATGCGGAGCAGCAAATGGGAAAGGGTTTGCTGCTGCGCGCTGCGGTGTACGTACAGCTGGGAACGCGCTGCTGCTGCGGCCAGCAGCAGCAGCAGCAGCAGCAGCAGCAGCAGACACGAGAACTCTTGTGGAGAATTACTTTTTGGAAAAGAAAGAAGAAATAACTCTTTCTCAAGTGGGGCATTTGGAAAAGGTTTTCAAACAAATTGCGCCTTCGCAGCAGCACGCGCAGGACTTGCTGCTGCTGCTGCCTCCAGACCTGCTGCAGCAGCTGCAGCAGCAGCAGCAGCAGCACCAAAGGCACCGCCGCCACCGCCAGCAGCAGCAAACAGACACTCCTGCTGCGCCCCCAGGCGAAGCTGCGTGAGTCCAGGCAGCTCAAACCAGCAGCAGCAGCAGCAGCAGCAGCAGCAGCAGCAGCAGCAGCAGCAGCAGCAGCAGCAGCGGCAGAAGTCCCGCGAAACTTCAGATCATTCGAACTATATATTTACTTTTGCTGCTGCAAGTCTCAGCTTTAAGTGTTTACTTTTCGAAGCCGCTGCTGCTGCAGTCCTTGCTGCTGCTTGATAAAAAGAACCACGCTAGACTAGCAGCAGCAAATAGCTGCTGCTGCTGCTGCTGCTGCTGCTGCAGCTGCTGCACACGCAGCAAAGGCAACACTACAGCAGCAGCAGCAGTTTAGCAGTTGCTGCTGCTGCAGACGTGGCAAAATCGACACTAGGCTACCAGCAGCAGCAGTCCAGCGGTTGCTGCTGCTGCTGCTGCTGCTGCTGCTGCTGCTGCAGACGCGGCAAGATCAGCACTACATATACTACCAGCAACAGCAGCAGCAGACCAGTGGTTGCTGCTGCTGCTGCAGACGCGGCAAAACCAGCACTACCCTACCAGTAACAACAGCAGCAGTCCAGCTGCTGCTGCTGTTGCTGCTGCTGCTGCTGCTGCTGCTGTTGCTGCTGCTGCAGTCGCGGGAAGCAAATAGCAAATGAGAAGAGGGTTGGAGCAGCAAAAGTAAAGTTGGAAAAGGCGAAGAAGTTCGCCGATTGCAATTGTTTGAAATTAAATTAAATTCAAACTTAAATCAATTGCAAGTAATTAATTACCTTTACACATGCACTTAGCTCGACTTGCTTGGCTCTTGCTGCGCTGCTGCTGCTGCTGCTGCTGCTGCTGCTGCTGCTGCTGCTGCTGCGGGCGCAAAGGAAAACCTTTGTTTGCTGCTGGGCCCCACAAGCTGCTGCTGAAACGTTTGGTGGAAAGTGAAAATGAAAACAAAGAAATGCAAATAATGAAAAATGAAATGAAAAGAAATTGCAAAAGAAGCGACACCTGCATGCATGCATGCATGCATGCATGCATGCATGCATGCATGCATGCATGCACCCGGCTGCAGCAGCAGCGCAGCAGCAGCAGCGCAGCAGCAGCAGCACGCCGCGAATCCCGTGGCTGCCGCAGCTCCGCGGCGCTCTGCAGCCTCCGCCTTCTCCGCCTCCCCTGCCGCTGCCGCTGCTGCTGCTGCTGCTGCTGCTGCTGCTGCAGCGGTAAAGGGCTGTGGGGCGAGTCTGGGGTGTACGTACACCGCGTCAGCGCAGCGCAGCGACGCAAATGGCAGCGCCTTTGCCTGAGCCGTCATCTGCTGCTCTCAAAAGAACTTTTTCGGAGTTTTGGCCAATCAAATCTTTCAAGAAACTTCGAATGCGAAGTCCATACCACTCGTTGCGAACATACAAAGACCCGTCCACGGCCACAGTCACTCCGCCGTCTGTCTCCAGGCTCTGCAGCAGCAGCAGCAGCAGCAGCAGCAGCGGGTAAGCAGGGACAGCAGCAGCAGCAGCAGCGGGTAAGCAGGGACAGCAGCAGCAGCAGCAGCAGCAGCAGCGGGTAAGCAGGGACAGCAGCAGCAGCAGCAACGACCAGCACCCAGCAGCAGCAGCAGCAACGCCGAGGACACCGCAGCAGCAGCAACACCCCAACTCCCCAGCAGCAGCAGCAGCGCCCCAACTCCCCAGCAGCAGCAGCAGCGCCCGAACTCCCCAGCAGCAGCAGCAGCACCCCAACTTCCCAGCAGCAGCAGCAGCAGCAGCAGCAGCAGCAGGAGAGGCTGACCCTGGTGCGCTGGACGAGTACTGCGATGGCTACTGCTGCGAGCGCGGCGGATCTGTCGAAGACGGCGAAGCCGATGCGGCGCATCACTGCGAGCGCCGCTGCGTCTAAGTCCCAACTCCAGCACTCTTTGAGGAGCATTTTGCAATTGCTGGCCAGTGCGGGGTCGTTTTCCTGGCCCGGAATGAGGCTCGCGGCCAGCACCGCGGCTTGCTTCGCGTCGAACGAGAACTCCTCACTGACACCGCAAAAAACAAGAAAACGGAGAGTTCTAGTGCGATTTGATGCGCTATTTCCGACTTTAGTGCTTTATTTCCGATTTTAATTACTTATTTCCGCTTTTTTCCGAGAAAAAACGCAAAAATCTGCAGCTTTCCGGAAATTCAAGTTCGCGGCGCGCGGCGCAGCTGCCGATACACCCCAGCGCGCCGCGGGGAAGAGCCCCCGATCTGCCCATTTAATTCCGTTCATTTCTTTTAGTTTAATTTAATTTGCATTTTAATTCGCAATTCAATTCTTTTAAACCGATTTTCAACGCAGAACTCACCGAGCCTTCGCCGGAGCCGCAGCCCCGAAGATCTCCAGGGTCAGCAGCCGCACGAGCTCGCCCAGGTAAAACCCGGAAATCATCTTCTCAAAGAGCTGGTGCTTCTTATTCGGCGACTTGTCGTCAATCTGAAATTAAATTAAATTAAATTAAATCCAATTAAAACAAATCAATTCAAATAAATTCAAAACAAACCAGACACAGCCCCCACCCACAGCCGACACGCCCCCCACACCCCCCAGCACCACCCCCACC